CTATAAGATATAGATACGTTCCAATTTATTAGGAATCCGATTTCTTACAAGTCGTTCCAATCACAGCCCGACACGTGTCAAGTTTACGGACTACGGCTGATTGAAAGGTTTTCTTCCATAAAATTAATCGATTCTACACTAATCCGACTCAACATTTCCAAAATACGTATATTTTTTTGTAGTTTTATAGGAATCGTAATTATAGGGACCGTAATTATAGGGGGGGTCGACTGTATATCAAAAAGTTTGTGAATTTGCCACTATCAGGCCAAGTTATTCAATGTTGAAAGTCAAATGAACTTCAGCAAGTATATGGCTCTCTGAATTCAGTTGTTTTTCTGTTCCTGGGACTCAAGATGTCTTTTTTTCCCCCAAGTCCCTGAAATTCTCAGGACTACAATTTATGACAATGATTATAAATTTACTGCCATTTCAATATTATATATAGTGAATTGAATTTAATATTAGGGGTACTTAAGGACATGCCAGTATTTGAATGAGGCTACGGCCCACCAGTGTCCAAGTGGTCTTCGTACCCTGAACACTGGGAGTTCAGTTGTGGGTTCGCACCTAGCTCTGACAGGCTAGCCACATGGAGTTTTTCCGGTTTTCTCCACATCTGTAATGCCTAAATAGGGGCCAGTTTCCCTCCTGGAAGGCATCCACCTAGGCAAATTGCCCAAGTATTGCATTGCCATAACTTAAACAACAACAATTGAACGAGGCTTTTTTACCCCATTGTGAGTGGTGTGTTTTGCTTCAGCTCATCAGAGAATATAGCCCAAGCAGCTGACATCTCCAGATAAACCCAAGAAAAAGAGTAAGTTTTGCTTGTTTTGTGTGATGTTTTTCTGAGGGCTGTGTCATGCTGAATTGGAATGATTTTGATACTAGATTAACTTCTGAAATGTAATATTTTTTGTTTATATATTTTTCAATATATATATTTTGTTCGTGCAAAATAAAGAAATAAGTTTTAACAATACAATAGTCACAATTATTATTTTAAAAAAATTTTTTTAAATTTAATTAAAAAATTGTTTAGGCTTAACATTGACGAAAATTCAATGCAAAGCGACATGCAACAGAAAAATTTCAACATGGAATAGGTTAATATATTTTTTCATACATGATCAATTATCTAAACAATCCCAGTCCTGAATTGTTTCAGATAATCAATGCTCTATTGTATTTCATGTAATAATAATAACATTTTTCTTTCAAGCATTATATGATTTGAAAGTAGTTATACATTCCTTATTAAAGGTAATAATAATCTTTTTTAATAATTAAATTTTATTTTAATATTGTCACTGAAGAAATAAAAAATTGAATAACAAAAATAAAACTACACAATAATTCAATAATTACTAAAGTGAAATTTGAACGGATTTTGAGAAAAGTTGGCAAAGGAAGTCATGCTAATAATTAAAAAAAGAGCCATTAATATTCAGCATCACAAAAAACAGTAGAAATCTATGAAATAAAAATTATGAATAAATTTCAAGTGTAATTTTGTAGGAAACATCAAATAAAATATAGACAAAACACTTCAAACATATATGAGATTATATTAAATAGAATGAAAAATTTTTAAATTATTCTAAAAAATATCATTTTCTTTTAGAAACAATAAAACATTTACATATGTCATACAATCAGATGAAACAAAAAATGTATTCAAAAAACAGAACTAAGATAGAATATGAGACTGTAAGAAAGTAAGAGTCTCATAATCTTATATTCTAAGACAAACTATGCAAATTATAAAATAATTTATATTATGCTTTTAAAGATATTAAAGTAGAATTATTGATATGAAAAATATTAAAAACAATGATTTTTATTTGAATATTGTAACAGAAACTCAATTCTATGATAATTTGAAGTAATATGAATAACTGTCAAACCACTGATGGTTTTTTAATATCAAACATATGCATTTGTTAACCTAATTCTGGAAAGAAAAATCAAAAATTTTATTTTTTACTGGTTAAGTATAGTTCCTTATGCCAAAACTACTTAAAAAGTTAAATTCAGGTAGCTCTATAGAAGCTGAAATGTTGAAAATTTATTAAGAAATTTTCTAACAATTATTACACTGTGTTAAAAAATATGAAAAAAATTTAATATCATCAAATCAACGCATGAAGTTAAAAAATGCCTAATCTAAATACCTAATTCCTTTTAAACAAATTAACTAACTTTTATATTAATTATTTTATATCTTTTTAAATGTAATATTTTATAATTAAAAACTTACCTTCAGAATCACTTGTATCTGAGAGAGGTGGTTCTTTAGCAACATAATGTCGGCCAGCTAAAAGACTACTTTCGATAACCGGGCGTTTGTCATCTAGTTGTCTGCAGAATGCTCTATGTTCATCTTGCTGTTTAATGATAGTACTTACATCACCTCCTATTGTAGGTTGTGCAGAAAGTTCTATTTCTTTCTTGATGACCCATTCAGTCAATTCTCGTAGAGATAACAATAGTTGATTCCATTGGTCAGCATTACTTTCTAGTCTATTTCTATAAAATCAATTATAAATTTTATTTAATACATTGTGAATTAGATTTTTTTTATAGAAAAATTGTTTTACTAGTTGAATCAATTATTTAATATTTTAAGTTAATTTTTTCTACATTTTTCAGAAAAATAATATAACAACCTGAGAGAAACTGTTTTCAAACGAAGTGCATTCCATCTGTGATTCATTTCTTCCAGTTTTCTTCGTAACAGTAAGGCATCTTCTTGACTTTCTAAACTTTGTAATAATTGACTACTGCGTTCATTAAGTGTTAAATGTAAATCTCGTTGAGCTTCTATTTCTCTTTGCAAATCCTAAAAATTACAAAGATAATTTAACAGTTAATGATTACTACATATTCAAAAATTGATTAACTCTACATTAAGCATATCAGTAGTAACCTTTGTCACTATGATGAAAAAGTATAATTTTACAGCAAAACAATGTATATTTATAGTATCAAGAACAAAGTATATACACAAGATTGTTTTCCTGTGAGATCAATTGTTTATCATCTAATAAATATAATCATTTAATAATGGTTAAAAATTGACTGGTCTTACCACTCCAATTGGATAAATCAACAGCAATAAATCTGATGAACAGTTTGTTTGAGGTAAATTCCTGTGTTGTGTAAGTAACTAATGATAATGGGGCATAAAAAAAAGACCATCAGAGCAAAAAAATCCAAAGATGCCAGACCACCTTTGACTAGGATGGTGACAGGTGACATCATCATCTGACACATGTTATATAAGATAAATTGAAGATACTTAATATCAGGTAACTTCCACTCTATCTTTTTGCAGGACAGTAATATAGTAACTGAAATGTGTATAATACAACAATAATAAATAACCTTTTTTCCTATTAAACTGTCAAGTATAGTTATTCTCCATCTGAATCCATATGACCTGACATCTATTACCAAGATACAGTCGACCCCCCTATAAGATATAGATACGTTCCAATTTATTAGGAATCCGATTTCTTACAAGTCTTTCCAATCACAGCCCGACACATGTCAAGTTTACGGACTACAGCTGATTGAAAGGTTTTCTTCCATAAAATTAATCGATTCTACACTAATCCGACTCAACATTTCCAAAATACGTATATTTTTTTGTAGTTTTATAGGAATCGTAATTATAGGGACCGTAATTATAGGGGGGGTCGACTGTATATCAAAAAGTTTGTGAATTTGCCACTATCAGGCCAAGTTATTCAATGTTGAAAGTCAAATGAACTTCAGCAAGTATATGGCTCTCTGAATTCAGTTGTTTTTCTGTTCCTGGGACTCAAGATGTCTTTTTTTCCCCCAAGTCCCTGAAATTCTCAGGACTACAATTTATGACAATGATTATAAATTTACTGCCATTTCAATATTATATATAGTGAATTGAATTTAATATTAGGACAAATTTTTATTTTGTATTCATTACAGTAATTCAAAATAAAATTTAAGCAAAAAGTAAACAAAAAGATTAATTATTATAAATTACATATAACAAAAATATATCAAAATTAACATCTATTAAAAATTTTCAAAAAAACAACAATGTTCTCTGTTTATAAGTACAGTTCATATAAATAGAGATAAGCTGCAAAAATAGTTCAATGCTAAAAATAAAATCATTGTCAATTCAAAAATCTAACAATGGAGATTCTTTCGTAGGTGTAAGAATTATAATGGCATCAAACTCTTTAATATTTGTTGAATTTAATCGAAGTATACAGGCGCAAGTGCGGATGTGAAGTTTGAAAGGAGAATGCAGTCTGCGAGATTAAACGACGGTCTTTCTTATACTGATTACCATTTTAATTTTTTAATACTGTAACATTTGTTTAAGTGAAAAGCAAATATTCAAGAGAAGAAGTATAAAAAATTTAAGATGATAAAGTACTTGGACATCATGGAAATTGACGACGTTAAGTGAAAGAATAAAACGGCATATATTAGTTTGTTCACTTTAAATGAGTTAATTATTATTATTTAAAATTAATTACGCTTTCAGAAAAATATATACTATTAATACTAATTAAGAAACAATTTTGTTTGTTTCTTTGTTTTTGAGAGAATTGAATTTGTCAAAGAATTGATAACTTTCAAGTGTCACATAACACGTAATCGTCATTCACAAAGATTTTATTTTTTTAACATTATAATTACAAACACGGATACATTATATATATCATAAAAAACTAGAATAAACAAAGCTGATATCTACCTCCAAGTAACCTTTCTGGATCCGCCCCGAAGTCTGTCTTTTTCGAATTCATATCATGGGATTATGAGAAAAATTTCTAAGCACGATATTAGCACGAAACTTCTTATGCAACGTGTTTTGTTATTGGTAAGACCGATGAAAAAAAACGTGACGGAAATTGTGAATTGTAATCGGGAATTTTATTAATGATTTTATGTTGCACGTTTTCTCCGTAATTCGTTTTCTTTTGCAAATGCAAGTCTGATTCATTAACGCTGTCACGAAAAGGTGAATCTATTATGAAACTCCGTGAGCTAATGTATTATTAGTCGTATTTTAATACATTTTTTATTTTTTTTAAATCATTAATTAATTATATTATTATTCAACAACTGATCCCGCATTCAACTGAAAATCTGCTTTTCATTGAACTTCGAAAAGAAACCAGGAAAAAAAAAATGAAATCAAGAATTACCTATCGTATGTACGATTGTTTCCCATTATTGCCACACCCTTAGGTAGCAATTTAGCATATAATGACCATTGAATGAAAGTTATTATACAGAAATGTATGATGTGTCATACAAGGACTATAAGCTACTCAGTATTATTTATAGTTCCTAATACGGATGCCATTAATTAAAAAGCTGGCGAAGACAAATACAGTAGAACGTCGATTATCCGAATCAATTGGGGACTGGGGTTGTTCGGATAACTGATTACGTACGAAAAAATAGTTTAACGTATCCGATGTTGAAATTTTTCTCCGTTGCGTGTCGCTTTGCGTTGAATTTTCGTCGATGTTAAGCCTAACGAAGACTATTGTATCGTTAAAAATTATTTTTGTATTTTGTACAAACAAAATAAATATATTGAAAAATATAAAAACAATAAAAAATAATACTTCAGAAGTTAATTTAGTATCAAAAACGTAAAATATTTGAGTAGCCTAAGATATAGCCAAAGATTGCAGCGCCACAGCACTAACGAAAATTTAAATTTCCGACTGGAATTCTTTCGGATAATCGACGCTTTACTGTAGTTTTTTTGACATCATGCAATGAACGAGCTTCTTAGATGTGAAAGGAGTGAGTTTTGAGCTGAAATAATAATCTTAATAAAAATTGGAATTTTTTTCGTAAACAGGATATTTTATATTTTTAAGATAATTTATTCTATACACTATTTTGTTATGCAAGTTTCCTCCATCATTATGGTAAATAATTCGTTTATACAAAATTTCGTTTATTTTATGTAGAAAAGGGAATTTATTTGCATTCTAATTTATGACTGAAAGAATAATAATGTGATAAAACTATATTTAATATTCAACTACCTAAGTAATAAATAATCTTTAGCGTTAATTATATGTATTTTACAGTTATATTACTTTCTCGATTGTTATATATAACTGGAAAAGTTTAGCGATCAGTCAAAAAATTGGGGATTTTTCTGTATAATATGGAGGGAGCTTTGTGTTTGGAGGCACGAGTTTGTTCACCCACTTTGAAACTTAAATTTAACAACTCCAGTACTTTTTGTCGAAAATTTCTGAAAATTTTGTGTTGTGGGATTGATGCTATTAAATTTTGGTGGTTAAAGGTCGAGGGGTGGGGAGATAGTGTATTGGACTTAATGAAGATTTTACTCGGTTATTAGCATTTACAATTTTGTATAAAACTAATCTCTTTCCTCAAAGTTAAGCTTTTTGTCATTTTATAATAATTAATAATACTGTATAAAAAAGTTTTTAAAATAACATATCTTAACATGGCCTCACATACAACTTTAAATTTTTTACCGGGAAAGTTACGCAACTCGTTGCTGGATTTTTTCCTTTAGAATATTTATTAAATGTAAACATAAATGTAATGTACAGTAAAGAATCACATGATAAAAAAATTATACAGATTAAGACAAAAATTAAAAATAATCGATTAAACTATTAATTACTGATAACTCGAACTTAGAAATAATCTATATACATTATATATTTATAAAAAAAATAAATGAATAAAACAAACGTTCTTATTTACATACAAGCTATAAAAGCAATTTTCTATATGAAAAATAAATTATTTTAAAATGTAAAACAAGAAAATATTTCGTATATGCTCTAACAGAGAAAATACATATAAAAAAGTTTCCTACAAAATAGTTGATTTTAACAGGTATGAACAATTTTAAATTACTTATAATCCATAGCAATCTCGACTAAGAATCTTCTCAAATGTTTGTCATAATAAATATACACTTTTCCACAACCTTCCATCATTTTCTAAACTGGCAACAGATACTCTAGTTAGAAAGAACTGGTTTAGTTGATACTGCTAAAGGTCTATCAATTTCGTTCTCATCTGCTTTATTTATTGGTCCTCTCAAGAATGTTTTAACAGTGTTATCTTGGATCTGGTAATAATGGAAAAAAGATTAGTGTTCGTTACGTGAAGTTTGTTTTCTGCGATTGAACAACTGATTCAATTTCATTGCGAATGTTTAGAAAATGATAAGGGTTTATTTGGTGTTAAAATAAACACTTAAATTTTGATAAGAATACTGTATTTTAAGTAATCATCTCTCGACTTCCTTTCTTTCCCTTACTGATAATACGGATTAGAACATTATTTTGAATTTCTAGCATTTTTTTCATTAGTTCAACGAAAAATTTTTGTGGTTTTGCTTTTCAAATAAAATAAACCTACCCGTTCTATTTAAAAGAAAAGAAATCTTGGCTAGTATTTACTATTTTTATTTCGAGAATTTCAAATTACATCTTAATGTCCAAGGAATCTATCTACGTTAGTTTTTAAAAACAAAAGTCATTAACGATTTTAAAATCTGATTCTATAAGAATTACAACTAATAAAAAATTTAAGAATCTAAAAAAAATTTTCTTTTTCCCCGCTCACAAATTTAGCAATTTATTATTTCTAACAATTCAATGATTTTCTGCTGGATGCTAGTTGAACATCATTACTTACCAGTTTTGTGACAAATTATATGTTTTTCGTTCAAACTCAGCTGCTTTTTTTTCTAATAAATCATTTGTAATAACAATACTGTTGACAGTAATTTTTGAAGTATCTATTAGACAAGTTATAAAATGT